AGAGGGAAAGCCCCATGCAGCTTCACAAAAAGCTAAGAGGTAAACTGAAAACAGAAGGGGCATGCACAGGAGCTGGAAGGAGGACCAGGCTCCAAAGGAAGAATACCAGCAAGTAGCAAGGAACTGCAGGGACGACGTCAGCAAGGCTAAAGCGATAAAGAGCTGAGGCTAGCGCAAAACAACAAAGAAGCCTTCTTCAAATACGTCCAAAGCAATAGAGAGGAAAAAGAAGGGAATTCAGCTTCACACCACAAATGGAGCAATGATAAGAGAGCCAAAGAAAAGGCAGGAGTGCTCAGCTCCTACTCTGGCCCGGTCTTCTCCCAGAAGAACAACGAACCTCCTGATGCAGGTGTAGTACAAGCCGAAGGGGCAGGAGGGCAGCCCAAGACTGGCAGGCACATGGTCCAGGATCTTCCAATTGGGCTACATGAGTTCAAATCTCCAGGGACCAATGAACTTCATCCCTGAGTCATATAAGAGCCAGTGGAAGAACTCTCAGAACCACATCTGTCATCTTTGAGAAATCATGGAAGACAGGAGAAGTGCCCAGTGACTAGGGAAGGGCTAATGTCGGCCCCTTCTACAAGGAAAAAAACATGAACCTGGAAACCATAGGCCAGTTAGTCTGACATCAATCCCTGGAAAAATTATAGAGCAAATTATAAAACAGTAGATTATTGGCCAGCACTCTTACTGTCAAAAGCAGTCACAGGACCAAACCAACAGGTCAGAGCTTGCTAAACATATTTAGGTTTTTTGTAAACGAGCTTTTGGTTAAACTTTACAATTGATTCACTGAAACCTACAAAGCCACATTATCACAATTTGTTAGTTTTTAAGGCGTTATATTCTGTGGTAGGATGCAAGTTGAAGAGGGTTGCTGAAATAGTGGACATTGCAGATCACTTTGTACTACAGAAAGAAAAGGAGGATGTAGAAACCATACACAATGGTACAAAGCAATTCTTTCCAAAGAATGGAAAAAAAAATATTTAACATGTGTGTCCTTTTTTTTTCCTCCTGAAACATGGCCGCCTTCTCTGAAATTAATAGAAAATGTTTCCATTGGGCTGCTTAGTTAGGCATGGTAAGAATAATTAGTATAAAACAAATAACTGCCTTTGCTCAATTTAGAACAGTTCCAATACATAAAACACAATCAACAATAAACAAGATCCAGGACAACTTGACTAAAATGCTACTGATGAGAGAAAAGGGCATTTTACAAAATAAAATTAAGTGGAAGCAAGCACAGCAGAGGAGAATGAGATGAGCCACCTTGGGTTATTTGCAAGAGGAGTAAAGCAGAATATAAATATGATGTACTAATAAAGTAATAGTGAACAGCCTGCCCCAGTGGATTAGAACATCAGATGAAAGATTAACTGATTCTTGTCTTTCTCATTCCATGCACCTGGTGCCTACTTCGTATTCTTTTCAGTGCCAGGTAAAGACTCCCCTCCTCACAATATTCTAACAGTTTAACTTTTAAAATTTGTTTTTAAGTATTCCATTTTATTCTGTATTGTTGCTATGTCTGTGCTGAATCACAGAAACTGCAATGGCTGGTATAGCTTTATTTATTTTCTAATTATTTTAAATTAATGTATATGCCTTTTTTTACCATGTGTTTAATTTTAACTTTAGGTAACTGCCCAGAGAGCCTTGGCTATCGAGCAGTGAAAAATAAATAAATAATCCTAGCTCCCACTCAGGGCAGGATCCCACACACTGTAGAGAAAACGCGGCATTCCCAGTTGGAGAGTTCAGACTTGAAAGATGAACTAGACAGAGGAGACGGGTTGGAATGTGGCATGGAAATGTCAAGGATAACAAGTGCGATTTGTAAGACAGCCTCCGAGGACCCAAATGCCTTGGGTTCAGGGGGAGACAGCGCACACCAGGGTGGGCCTGAGCATGTGTGATGTGAATCTATCGAACCAGCGAGCTGGCACCAAGCCAAATGAATGGCCGATTAAGTGTTGCTTAATCCAGTGCTACTGCCACCTGGCCCACAAGCAGCAGGAAACTCCTTAAGGATGGAGTCACGCCTTCGCTGAAAGGAGGGGAGGAAGCAGGCTCCAGTTTGGAACCAACTCTTCACACGGGCAAGAGCGGCTCCCACTGGGAGGCATATTACAATGATTACTTTGGTATATAACCTTCTTTTGAAGTGCCCCGTGCCACAAAACCCACTTCTAGCTCATATAAAGGACTGTGTTTCAAAAGGCTTCTGATTAGATCCACTGGAAAGGGAAAAGGGGAGAGATGTGTTCACAACACATACAACTTCCCCTGCACAGGCTCTCATCCTGGGTCAGGTCAGAGGCCTGCCTTTCACACAGAAGTCTGATAACTTTCCTATCCCCAGCCAATGTGGAGGAGATGCCTCTGCCCCAAGGAGGAAACCCTGAGGGGAAACTTTTAAGAAGAAAGCTTACAATGTTTGGGAAAAGGATGAGTAAGGTGAGACTTGACAGAGGCATGCAAAATTATACCTGATGTGGAGAAAGTAGGTAAGGAGGCATTATTCTCTTTTTAGTGACACTAAAATTCAGTGGGGATATCCCATGAAACTGGCTAGTAGGAGATTCAAGAAAGACAGATCAAAGTTCTTTTCACAACACAGAGAATTAAAACTATGGGATTGGCTATCACAAGATGTAATGATGGCAACCAACTTCAAAGACTTTACAGGGAATTAGATAAATTCATGGCGAGAAGGCTATTGATGGCTACTAGCCCTGATACTAGTCCAGTATTGAAGGTAGCATGTTTCTCAGTACCATTTGTTGAAGGGCATATGTACGAGCACGCTTTTGCATTCTATCCTTCTGTGGACTTAGAATCATAACACAGTAGAGCTGGAAGGGACCACTGCAGCCATTGGGTTCAATCTCCTGCTTAGCACATGATGCCAAAGCAACCCACAGAGAGCTGGTCAGCAACTGCTTGAACAAAATGCTGGATCCTTGCTTTGTACTTGTTTCCTTGTTTCCAAGCATCTGGTATTTTTGCAGCTGCAATTTCAAGCAATTCTGCAGTACTGTGGGATAGAAATGCACTGCAAAGGTTCAGCTGAGATTTTCAGCATCTGAAGAGGTGACCACAGGCCACACAGAAGTGATGTGATCATCTTAGCTAACACCACGTGTTCTGAGGGAATAAATGAGAGAGTAGCCTAGTGTCACTCCACTTTTTCCCCCCAGGAGGAATAGATTTTAAATACTCCAGGTTTGGGGAGCCATGCAATAGAACAGACATACCAGATCAATTCACCCCAAGTTCCCTGTGCAGCTATGATTTCTTTTCATTTACATACTGCGTTCATTTTTGAGAATGAATGTTTGTTTCTGAAAACAAACAGGTTTTCAATTGCACGCATGCATGCAATTTTTAAATGCAGTAGAAAAAAACATGAGAAATTTAAAACCAGGCTGCAGGTGACAGAAGGCCTGGGTAACAGGCAGCAATTTTCACTGGTTGAAAAAGCTCAGCCAATGAATTTAAAGTTCTCTGCATATAAGTTGGCTATTGCCTCTAGTTTCCACTGTACTGCTATCTTATAGCTATCATGGAAGGGATGAATGTAAAGGTTTTGCACATTCAATTATGTCATGATCTTCCCCTATGCCCTTATTAAGGTCTAGAAAGCCAGTGGCACAACCATCAGGTTCTACACCTAGTCTCAACCATGTCATGTATTATTTACCTAATCCTACTCTATTGCATAAAGCAAGGGCATCAGAAGTCAGCAGGAGGACTGTGGAGCTTGATTAGGCACACAACTGAACGTCACAGGCATAGCCTTGGACTGTCTACTGAACAAGAAAATCTACTTCTTCCACTGATGGGAGAAACAGGGTTGAATCCCTCAGCTCACCTATTACTAACTGCCATTTAGTTCCTTGTGTTCCAACAGGTTACATTAGAGGGAATTAGGAAACAGCAAAGCTTGTTTCACTGACTCAGCTGGGAAAAGATACCCCCCAAAAAGTCTCCTGCAAGGTCCACAGTTCTTGAGGTATTTATTTCCTATATCTTTTTCTTTATATCTATTAAAGGCCCAAAGCTGTGAAACCTTAGTTTAAAAGGTGGACTACTTTGGGTTCAGTGACAGAAAGGGTAATCAACAGCTAGATTTTATCTGTATATTAAAGAGCTCACAAAGGACTACTAGATGGCAATGACAGAATGTCCCACAGTTACTGCAAATAGTCCATGTTTGTCTCATAGTTATGCCCCTTTCTTGCTTCCCCCAACCATCTCCATTTCCCCCCACCCACACCTCTGTAATGGCCAATTCTCACATCACTGTAGAACAAGTACTGGAAGCAGACACTTTAGCTCTTAATGATCGGGGAGTGGGGTTCTAGTTGTATGAGGGGATGAAAATTTTCTTTCTAGGTGTGCTCTGTGGATGATCCCTAGTTTATAAACATTGATGAAGGAATTCAGCATTTTATGGACCAAATGCCTAAAATATAAACACTCCATCAATCTTGCTATTGATGAAGTGATGAATTCCCCCTGTGACAGGCCTCTGCATTATGGAAATACTGGGTCTTTGTGGTTAGAAAGTAAAAATCACCTACAAATTAGGACATATTCACAAGCGTTTAACCAGAGTTTATCTTATCACTATTACTTTTGCCTAATCAAAGCCTGACTCCCCAGTGGAAGCACTCCACATGTGACCTCAATTCTTCCATAGCACCTCCTTTTCATCTTTGCCTCCCTCCTGCACCCCACTTTTCTTTTGCTCTCCTTGTCTTTCTCATTATGCACTGCTGCTTGCCCGGAAACCTCCTGTCTATTTAATATCCCCTCGCTTTCCCTCAGGCCAAGTGGGCTAGAATGGACTGTCATACAATTCTTTATTTAAACAGGCTGAAAATTAAAATATTAATGGAGCCAAACAGGTTAGTTTTTAATTGTCTGTGATATCTGTGCTGGCAATTCTTGTATACAAAGCAGGTGAGAAATCTCTCCCTTACCCATGTTTGCCAATAAACATAACATGCATACATTTCGTTCCAGATCTGCCTTCTCCAGCGTGGTGCTCTCGTAACTTCAATTAGGCCGAGCCGACATGCCCAATGGCCAGGAATGTTGGCATTCATAATCCAAAACATCTGGAGGACAACAGGTGGTGGGAAAGTGGAGCAAACAGCCCTCCCCTGCTCTCCCGTACAGAGATCTCAAAATGTGTTAATTACAACTCCCAGCATCCCCCACTCAGGAATGATGAGAGTTGTAGTCCAGCACATCGGGAGGACCCCAGGAAAGGGAAAGGGGAGACACGCAAGCTCAATCTTGTAACACGTTAGACTGTCCGTAAAAGAGGCCTCTTCACGCTCCACCTCGGCGGCCGGCCAGGTCCGCGCTCACTCCCGCCCCCACCTCCCTCCCTGCTCGTTCCCCAAGCGGCCCAGGTCCAGCCGCGCCTCACCTCCCGCCGCACGTTCAGCAACGAGTAATAGTCCTCGTTGTCCGGTGCCTCATCCCCCGAGGAGGCCGCCGCCATCTTGTCGACCTTTCACCCTCGTGCGCGCATGCGGCGGAATGGCGGCGGCGAGCTGCTGCCGCTCTAGGAAGCTGAGGGGAGGAGGAGATCGCCGCCTTCAGCGCCCCCTGCAGGCAAGAAGCAAGACTCGTCTCGGGAAAGGCTACGGAAGAAAGCGGAGCGAGGAAGAAGAAGGCGCCTGCGCGAGAGCGGGGCGGTCGCGGGCGAGAGAGAAGCATGCGCGCCGCCCCTCTTCCCCCGCCCTCTGTTGCTAAGGGGGACGCCAAGCCCCACCCACTCCTGGGAGGAGGCATTTGTAGATCAGCCCCTCCAAAGCAGGAGGCTGCAGGAGGTGGGCTGACGTGTGGCGCTGCTTGGGACGTAATATTATTAACCCCATATTAATTGAGGCCTTTGAATTGTGGTGCTGGAGAAGACTCTTGCGCGTCCCTTGGACTGCAAGGAGATCAACCCTGACTGCTCTTTAGAAGGCCAGATACTGAAGCTGAAACTCAAATACTCCGGCCACCTAATGAGAAGGAAGGGCTCCCTGGAGAAGAGCTTAATGCTGGGAACGAATGAGGGCAAAAGAAGAAGGGGACGGCAGAGGATGAGGTGGCTAGATGGAGTCACTGAAGCAGTTGGTGTGAGCTTGAGTGGACTCCGGGGGATGGTGGAGGACAGGGAGGCCTGGAGAAATGTTGTCCGTGGGGTTGTGATGAGTCAGACACGACTTCACTTCGAGATTACCAACAACAACAAGAACAATATGCATTATTGTGATGCCATAGACTTAGTTTGCATATGCAAACATAAACAAAGCCACACACCTCCTAACATCATCATCAGGAGCACCAGCAATTAACAGTGAGACATCCCACAAGCTGATGTAAAACCTGCCAAATGCCTCAGTGCAGAGGAAGGTCAACCTGGCACAGAAAGGAGAGCAGTGGTGGTGCCAGGCAGGCCTCCCTGGGAGGACAATTCCATAATCGGGGGCTGCCACCAAGAGGGCCCTCTCCCTTGTTGCCATGTTCCAAGCCTCCTTAGGTGGAGGACCTTTGGGAGCAAACAGGGCAGTAGCAGCCTTAAACTGGGGGAAGCAGTCGCTGAGTTTGCAGTCCAAATCCGTGCAAGGTTTTATCGTTTACCAGCTTGGCTCAGGTACAGAAGATGCAGGCAGTGGTTCAGCCTGTTCAGAATTTCTGGTCCTGCTTCTCCATCTTGGCTGCCGCATCTTGCACCACACTTCTGTGGTGTCTGCAAAGGCACCTTGCAGGTGTGATTCAGGCCACACAGCCAGGTATAAATGAATGAACAAGACAAATGAGATCTGGAGGTAATCATCCTTCTGATCTTAGCGAGTGATCTAAGCATTTGTAATGAGGACATGTATCTGAAGCACTTTAGGGTGTGGTCCTGTGTGTGTTCAGGAAGACCAAAGTCCTACAACTTTCAGCTGGGAAGTGCAGGGCATTTTTCTGCCTAAACACACTCAGGACTGCACTGTCAAGCATGTGCGAAATGCCGTAAAGGGCATAGGATGTCTGTCCGCATCCTTTGCGGTGATCTCTCCTGGCAGAGGGTCTGTGCAGGCAGAGGTGGTGCATTGGCTGCCATGACCTTTGCCTGCCCTGGGTCAGGGCAAGCAGTTTAGCTATTTGAACCTGGGGTCAAAACAACAGTCTGGTCCATGGGTTGCTGGGAAACTTTGCCAGGAGCTTTCTGGCTGGGAGGTGAGGGTGAATTAGTGCTGCTTATCAGACCGGAGCTGTGGCTCGAGGGCTTGTTTTCTATCTCTCCAGGAGTGTAGTGGATTCAAGGTCACAGGTATCCAAACACTGGGGACCTCTGATGAGCAGGTGACTTCCACTGCCGCTTGCTCTGAGCTTAGCTGCAGGGTTCTCAGGAACTGAGATGCGGGGAAATGAATTTTCTCCACTAAAATGGGTTGCTGTGAGGTGTCTCTGTGGTAATGCGAAGTATTCTGGGGTCTTTGGGTCTCCAGTGACAGGGTTCAAACAATGCAGTACACCATATTCAAGGGTGGTGTGGGTAGTTATCATGTTGTTTGAACCTGGTCATGCTAACGAATCATGACTTGTTAACCACACCCCAACCACAAACTATGGGTTCTTGTCCTGAGAAAGTTGTTTGTGTTTAACAAACCATGCTTTGTTGGTATGACTGGAATCCCATGACCTTAATTCAGCAGCAACCGTGCAGGACGCTTACGTGTGGGCTTTCTGTTGGCCCAGCCCAGTCATTTCCATTACAAAAGATGCCCCTGCCTGGGCTGAAGACTGCCAGTGTGCTGAGCTGGATCAGTGCCACTGCTGGCAGCATCAGCCTCTCCCTGGCCCGCCGTGTGCCGTTGCCAACAGGCACCTGCCACAAGGCAGAGGGGCTCCCCGGGGGTGGGAATGGGGGAGCCGAGGGTCAGTGTCCTGCCCCCTCCAGCATGGAGGCCGGGCTGGAGTGTCCTGGGGCCAAGGAGGCCAGGCGCAGTTCCACCCTCTGGTCCCTTTGGGCGAGTCAGTCCTACCCAGCCTGGTCTGTTGCGTGGAGTCTCTGTTGGGGTGAGGTAGGAGCAGCAGAAAGCTGGCCACACAGTCTCCTGTTTCTTGCAGAAAATGTGGGAGAAAATGTCTGGAGCAGACCCTCTCCAAGGCTGGCCTGCGGCTGTTGGGAGTCACCCTTGGGGCAGCCGGAGCGTCACGAATTGGAAAAAGGGGGGCTGGTGAGCCTCCTTTCTCCTCTGGAGAAAGGGCTCCGTGGTGCGGTGCCTGCAGGATCATTAAACAAGTGTGGGGGAAGGAGGGTCCACAGGCAATTTTGATGCACCTCTTTGAGGGCCAGGTTTGTCCACAAAGGCAGCTTTTTATTTCAGCCCCTCTTGCCTGGCCAGCTTTTTTGATGTGTGCAATTTTTCCTCTCCAAAAGCCAAGTGGCAAAACAATTTATGCTGCTGCAGCCGAGCGAGGTCTGAAATCCATTACTCCCGCTGCTTATCTTCAAAACAGAAGCCCATTTATCCTGGCTGCTCCCCACTTCACAGGCATCCAGGGCCACGCGCTCGTCTAGGGCAGGCGGAGGGGTGGGTGGGGTTGCGGGCAGCATCTGCCCCGTTTTGCGGCAGAGAAGGTGTGCCCCACGCTGTCGGCAGACCCCATTTGCGGGAGGACCGGCCGGCCAGGCACGGCTGCAGATGGCTCTCTGTGTCACCGATGAAGTCTAAGCCCTCCTCTATAATTCATAAGGAGAAATTACCTATAATCTTTTTATTATTCTCCTGTCATGGAGGCGGGATGGGGATTTAAGGCTATTTTTGCCATTTTCCTGACTGCTTCATCCCCTGCATGCTTGGAAAGCATGCTGAGCTGGGCGGGCGGGCAGGAAACTGCTGAGCAGGGAGGTTTCCAGTTCGCCCCCGTCAGGGGGGTCCAGGACTGGTGCCACTGGGAGGGCCAGTCGTGCCTCCACACACGTGTGTGTGTGAAGGCTGCCATGGGTCACAGCAGCCTTCCCCATAAGCTGGACTGGGGGAGCAAATGCCGCATCTACTAATGGACATTTGGGCAGGGGCAGCCAAGATTCACTGCACAGTTTAATCAGGGATTGGTGCTTGGATTTATCTGAGATTCAGTCATAAGTGGGACAAGTCTCGGCTCAGCAACAGAGTCCCTGCTTTGCATGCAGACAATGGGGAAATTCTCGCCTGCCGCCCCGGAGATCCTGCTGCTGCTGGTGCTGGCAGCCGGACCACATCGATGGCACGGGCTCGGGCAGGCCAAGGACTGGCTCAGTGCCAGCCATGTCCCACAGCGCTGCCCCTCAGGGCTGTCCTAGGGGAGCCCTGTCTGGGGGGATTGCCCTGCACCCCAAAGCAGGCATTATCGGCATTAGGGCCACGGGCAAAGTACCGTGTTGGCCTGGATGTGGCCTGCCTGCTCAGGGCATGCTGTGCTGGAGCTGGCGGCCGGAGCCGGGATGCTGGGCTATCAGGACAGCAGCCTGCGGCGTTTCCCCGGCACGGGGTGTCCAGGCTCCGAACCGGCTGTGCCACCCAGGCCTACCCTGGGAAGGACAGTGAAGGACTCTCGGTTTGGGCTGCTGGCTGCGCTGCCCAGCTTATTTGCCTGTACCCGAGTGCACAGCCTGTTTGGCTGGACAGCCAAATCCCACTCTGGCAGAGCTCGGGGGGGAGGGGGGCTCATCCCAGAGCTGGGCTGGGCAGGGCCAAAGGCAAAAGGCCTTCCCCAACCCAGTGCTCTCTGTATTTACCAGACCATAAATCCCATTATGTGCAGCTAGCTGGGCTCGGGGGGCACAACACCAGCTGTCCATAACTTCTGTGGATGGTTTGTATTTCAGTTCTCCAGATGCCCAGGTAGTCCTTGTACAATGTGCCAAAATGCTGCCTTTTCTCTCTTTAGAGTGACTTGATCTTTGCAAAATAACGGAAGAATGAGGCAGAGATTAAAGTTCAGAGGTTTAGAATTGCCATGACAATGCCCTAGTTTCCTCACAAAGCCTTTATTTCTCACAAGTAGAGATGCTTCTCTTTGGCAGGGGAGCAGAAGGAATAGTATCGTCTTGATAGGAAGGGGCAAGATGCTCCTACTCGCCTTCAGAGGCATCCTCCAATACTCCCTTGATGAAACGGCTTGATTACTTCCGGAAACTGGGGGGTTCAAGGCTGCAAATCTTGGTTTGCTTTTGAACTATTAGCTGCAA